ACACTGCCTCTTGTCTCTCTGTAGGTGTCACAGTTTCTACAGCAAACGCTACTCCCGTGCCTTGTACCTGGGAGCCAAAGCCATCCAGCTGAACAGCAACAGCGTCCAGGCCCTGCTCCTGAAAGGAGCGGCCCTGCGGAACATGGGCCGGGTGCAGGAGGCCATCATCCACTTCCGAGAGGCCATCCGGCTGGCGCCCTGCCGGCTCGACTGCTACGAGGGTCAGTGCCGAGCTGGGGGCTGTCGGCTGGGGTCCTGCTGATGGGGAGGGCAGAGGAGCAGCCAGGAGGTCTGTCCTCCTCCTGGCTTTCTAGTACATCAGCTATTCTTACCCCAGCATCTGTAGGAGCGCTCAGATGAGAGACGCTGGAGGATGTCTGGAATATCTAGAGAGTAGAATCTCTCCAGAACATCTAAAGATCTAAAGATGCCAGACTTATCCATGTAACAGTGATGTTACAGTAAGGGGATTTACCAGGTCTGTGAGAGATACTAGAGAATGTTTGGGCTTGCAAGAATGATTTTCACCAAGGGGTTTTCTTGTTGTTTTCTTATTGTTTTGTTTTGTTTAAACTGGATATAAACAGACTTGGGTGTTCCGGGTCATGATGTGAACTGTATGGTTAGTTCTTCTGGGAGCTTTGTTTTCTTCTATTTATTTAAGTATTTAAATATTTAAATCTTGTTGATCTCAGCAGCAGCTTCAGTGAGTTGTGAAGAGTCCAGGTGAAGTATTAATATCTCAGTATTGGAATTGGAGAAATCCAATTAACAGAAATGTTAGATTAGAGGTACTTTAGCGTTTGGGGTTTTTTTCAGTCCCTGCTTATAAATAAAAAGTGGTGAAATCAGTTATCTGTGGAATGGGTATGTTAACATGTACAGAGTCCCTTTCTCACTTGCAGCTGTGTTTCTTTACTGGAGTGCCAGCTGGGCAAGTAACTGAGGAGGTGAGTGCAGAGCTGACTCAGAACCTGAAATGTTTCCACGTGGTGTCACCAGGTCTCATCGAGTGCTACCTGGCATCCAACAGCATCCGGGAAGCCATGGTGATGGCAAACAACGTGTACAAAACCCTGGGAGCAAATGCACAGACGCTCACCCTGCTGGCAACTGTCTGTCTGGAGGACCCTGTCACCCAGGAGAAAGCAAAAACCTTGCTGGACAAAGCACTAACACAAAGACCTGATTACATTAAAGCTGTGGTAAAGAAAGCAGAACTTCTTAGTAAGTGCCTTTTTTCCCCATGTTGGTTTGTTTAGAGATAACTCTTGTACGTGGAAGGGGGTTCTTCAGACTTATCCACGTGAAGGATGTAGCAGTGGTGTTACAGCCCAGGGGTTTATCAGTTCTGTCCTGAAGGGAAAATCACAGGGATTCATTGCATCCAGCAAGTGATACTGCATCGCACCAGCACTTAAAGCATTTGCAAGCAGAATGTTTGGACTTCAAAGCAGGTGTAATTGTGAGTGTAGCAGGTATTGCGACAAAGAGCCATTGTTTAGAGTTAATCTTGCGAGAAGTAGATCACTGCTGCCCTCCTTGCTGACAGCGCTGAAGGGACAAACAGTCTGGTGTTGTGATGGCTCTGTGAACACTCTGACTTCATAGATTTATCTCAGCTATTAATTAAAACTGCAGTTTTGCCTGTGAACAGGTAGAGAGCAGAAGTATGAAGATGGGATTGCTTTGCTGAGGAATGCACTGGCCAATCAGAGTGACTGTGTGCTGCACCGGATCCTGGGGGACTTCCTGGTGGCTGTCAATGAGTACCAGGAAGCGATGGACCAGTACAGCATTGCCCTGAGGTAAAACACACCCTGAGATTGCAGGAGATTTCTAGGAACCAATAATCAGCTTGACTAAGTAAAGAGCTGAGCCACTGATTGATTTGAATGAGAATCAGAGATGGCTTTGCATCACTCTCCCTTAAAACAAACAAAAACGTGCAAATTACATCCTCTTAATTAATTAGTTGGTCTTAAGGCTTTGATCTGAGACGTGCACAATGTAGGGACTGCATTAATGTCAGACATGCCACTAGGCTTGTGATTCCTTAACTAACAAAAGATTTAAGGCCTGAAATTATTTATAGTTATTAATTAGTAGTCAGGCACCTTAAAATCCATTCCTTTGGACCAGAAGGTGCTATATAAAAATGAGCTATTCAGTAAATTTAAATAGTGTGATTCAACTTAACATAACCTAAATGTTATTTTAGGATGTTGCCATGCTAAATATTCCCATGCTTTGATTCCAACAACTCCAGTGTGCCTTAAATCCAGCACATCATGTCCACTGTACACTTGTATAGCTTAAATGGGTCAGCTGGTTTTTGCTTGCATATAATATATTTAGTCAGAGTCATTTAAATTTTTACTGCTTTGCTGCCACTTTATAATTAGTATTGTTGGAAGAGGTGACTAAGTTTTCTGGAAGAGTGGGATGTTTAGATAAGTGCATTCTTGGGGATCAAAACTGGTTTTTATGGAGATTTAATACTCAGTGGTACAGTCAGCCTTAGAGGAAGTTGCATCAGCTACTAAAATAAGCTGCTTGATGAAGTTAAACAGGAAGTGCAGACAGCAAGATGAGAGTTTGTTACTCTTCTTTACGCTAAGGCCACAAATAAAGGGAAAAAACGTTTCAGGACAAAGCTTTCTTTTTCTTCCTTCCTTCAGTTTGGATCCAAACGATCAGAAGTCACTGGAAGGACTGCAGAAAATGGAAAAAGAGGAAAGCCCAACAGATGCCACCCAGGAAGAAGATGTGGATGACATGGAGGGAAGTGGAGAAGAAGGGGACTTGGAAGGCAGTGACAGTGAAGCAGCTCAGTGGGCAGATCAAGAACAGTGGTTTGGGATGCAATAAAAGTCTCACCTGCTGCTTGTTCTGGCACTGGGGCCATTCTCCTTACAAGAACAGAAACTATGATTTTTTTTGCAGTAACAAAGGACCTTTTTTTGTTTGCTTATTTTTTTTAATAGACTCTGAAACCATTTAATACTCCTGTACATCTCCGTACCATGAAGATTCCTGATGCTTCTTATTTATTAAGTATAAGGGACTAACTGCATCCACAGTTATATTTGCAACTTTCCTTTTGAAAAACTCCTGCTAAAACTGAAACCATCAGAGTCTGAGGTGTGTAATGAGCCTGTTGGGATGAAAACAATGTCTGAATTCTGTCTAGGGCTAAGTGTGCTTGGAGTTGTAAATACAGGGGTTTGTACCCCTTGCTGGGAAGGCTCTTACTCTCGTTTGTGTGCTCCTGTTTGGGCTCGTGCTCCTGTTGAAATCTGGAGTGGTTGCTTGGATGTGACTGAAAGCAGCACTTTTCTCCTGCTGTGTTTGCTGAATTAATTTGTCTTTTTCCAGGGCATTACCTGTGCTGTCCAGGAGAAGTTTGGGACAATAGGCAACTTGGACTTACAGGATGTTTTCTGTAGCTGACTGATTTCTCTGTGTACAGAGTTAAGCCAATGGTGGAGAATTAAAGTCATTTTCTCAGCCCTTACTAAACCCTGTAATCACTTTAAAGTCTGTACATGAGCATTTATTTTAAAATGAAGTTTAGTTTTATTTCAGGATGTTCCTAAAAGCTCTTACAGCAGTGACTCAAAGCACTTCACATTCTGTATACAGCACTGACATTTAAAGTGGTATAAAAGGAATCCATCCCTCTTCCCTTGCATTGCTGGAGAAATGTTAAATTATGCAAATAGCCATATTGTCCTGGTTTTTCCATGTTTATGTACTTCCTGGTTTTGTCAGGTAATACTTGAATTCGTGTGTTTTCCCCTCACCTTCTGAAGCAAAGTCACTTCATGTACAAATCCTCAGCATTTCAAGGGTGAGCTGCTTTGGGTAATCTAGAAACTGTTGCAGTTCTGTGGGCTTGGTATGTGGGAGGAGGAATTACTTATTTTTCTTACTGTTCTGATTGCCTTAGTCTTTACCAAAACATGGGGTTTTTTTATCTTTATATTGGCAGTTTAATTCCTTTTGTATTTATTCTGTTGCCACAGGTATGCTGGAGCACACAGACTTTTTTTTAGAAGGCTAAAAAATAGTTTTGAGTATCAGTTGGAGGAAAAATGGCTCTTTGATACAAATACATGAGATGGAAAAGAAGCTTCTCCCTCTAAGGCAGATCAGGGTAAAATATCATCCCTCTGTGATATTGTATCAAAAATGCAAACAGAAGGAATAGGCAGATTATGGGCTGTTTTGGAAATGTTTTTGGTATGTCACATCTAACAAAGGAGGAGTCTAATAGTGTATCCATCTGAAAAAAGAAAACAGCTGGGTGCCTGTTCTCTCTGGAATTTCGTGGGCTCCAAACTTTCCAAAATATCAAACTCAACTGTGGTTGGTTGAAGGTGATTTGGGAAGAACAGCAAAGCTGTCCTGGGGGGTGGATGGGCATGAACTGCTCCTGCTCGTCCATGGAGCAAATCCACCAAATTTCAGGGAGGGCAAACATTTTGTTAATGGCTTTTTGGTGGATGAGAGGCCTGGTCCTGTTCTTTCCTTGGACAATTGCTGTGGGATGCAGTGAAGAGATTTCAGCTCATCACATGTCTCGTGGCAGAAATAATACATGTACAAGCAAATTCAAAGCATCTTTTTTAAAAAAAAAAAAAAGCTTTGTTTTCTCAGTCAACATTCATCTGATTCATCTGCAGCTTTCTAGTATTGCAGACCTCTACTGTGGATGCAAATGGAGTTGTCTGTGGTGGGTTCTTAGGTATATCTGGTAATCTGTGCTCTTAGAACAGGCAGGAAACTAAAACTACATCAAGATGAGTGTGTTTGGGTGCAGCTTTAACAAGTCCAGGCACACCTTAGGACACCTTGAGATGGCTGTTCAGAATAGAGTTGGATCCTTGCTGCCTTGGTTTTCCGAGAACTTGGCCCCTGACTGAAAATTAAATCAGATCCTGCTGATAAAACCTGGGTGAGTATCTGATGTGTTGAGCTCACATAGCTGGTGTGTAATCTTTGCTAAGAGTTGTACAGTAAGGGACTGAGGAACTTCAAGGTGCATTTGAGATGATAGAGATATATTTAGCACTCACTTCAGAATTCCGGAGGGGTTCTCGCCTATTAATGAGCCTTCATTAGCACTCTAATTTTAGAATGTGATCTCTGGTTTTGCAGAGATCTCGTACAATCCAGTGCAGTTCTAGTTCAGGGAATAGAACAATTAGCCCTTAATGAGCAGCTGACCTCATTCCCTCCCCCAGTCACGTGCTGTGCACCTTGGAAGAAAAGATCACAAAGCCAAAAACTGAAGTTCAAGCTTTGTCAAATCAGGAATGGAAGTGAAAAAAAAACAGTTTGTGAGGTAAAAAAGCTGTTGCCATCCAGCTCTGACTGTACAGTGTTGGCATGCCTGAGGTGCCAGTCTGGAGCTGGGTAAGGACAGAGTGCTCAAGTTTGCTTGGGATCATTGAATTTAAGTCACAAATATAATTTAAGTTTTAATTCTTTCCTGTTTTGTGGTAGGAAAGAGAAGAAGTGATGGAAAGGGACCGACTTCCTTCAAACCATACACTGACTGGGGTAAGGGCTAAAGGGCTGAGTTTAGCAGAGCCCAAAAGGAGCACAAATTCAGGATGTGGCTGGAAATTGCCTAAATAGTGCATTTACTCACACTTCATCCTGCCATGTGCTGATAACACCTGAAATTCCAGCAGTATTTCTAATTCTGATTTCCAGATCTTGGAGCATCTCCCAGCTGGACTCCTAGGCTGGGGGAGTTCAGGGGTTGGCAGAAATGAGCTCCTTAAGACTTTAGCAGTTGATCCAAGAGCTTGGGTTGATCTGGCAGCATAAAAGGGCCTTTTCCAGTGTGTGCTTTGCTGGAAAAGGCTGTTACGATGCCAGTTCTTTCCCTGAACTGTTTAACTGTCGAAAAGTGCTTCCAATTTTTTTATTCCTGCTTTATTTCCTTGCACTGAGTGTGTGCTGTGCTGTGTTACTCCTTGATGTGCAGTTCGGTGTGATGGGTTGAAGCTGCTGACTTGGCTTCATCCTCTTGGAACATGGAGTAGTTTTCCAGTAAAGTGAAGTGTGATGACATCAGCAGGGCAGCAACAGCAGTCTGTGGCTACACAACTTCCGTGGGCTGCTCTGTGGAAGCTGCTGGCCATGTGGTTCCTGGGGTAAGTGTGTGTCTGCTGGGAAGCCAGTAAAGCTGGGATTGGGATCTGGGACTGAGAGGAGCTGCTTGATGGGTGCAGAGGGGACAGTGTAGGAGTGGGAAGGTGGTGTAACCTCACTTTCTGGTTTCTCTGCTGAGGTCCATAGTGAAAGTGAGATGGGAGATTTGTGTGGATTGATTGTCAGTCAGGAATGTTGGTGTCTGTGTGACGAACACGGGGAAAGTTTGGCATTACTCTGAAAAAAAGCAGTAATTCCTGTATTAGCCCAAATTCTCTCTGGCCAGGGCAGTTCCTGGATTCTGGCTGTGCCAAGAGGAGGGACAGGGTGTGGAGACAGGCTGTCACCTTTCCTCAGCTCCCCAGGAGAGCTTTTAATAGGTGAGGAAGCAGGAGGTGGCTCCCACTGACCTCTGGGTGTGGGTTCTGCAGAGGATAATGTCACACTGAAACTCAGCCAATTTGATAAAGCTCGAGGTCAAGTGTTTGCTCTCCTGGTGGGAATATTGGGCTCTGAGAAGTTTTAAGGACCCTCCACCCAGCTCACTGGAAATATTTGAGGTTCTGGGAGAGGGATTTAACCCTTCCTATGCTGTGCTTTGGTTTTTGCTTTTGCTGCTGCTCTTGCCTGACAAGGGGGATGAGGAAACAGGTGGGTTTGATCTCCTTTTGTGCTGGGATTTACCATTTCTGCAGTTAATTCAGAGGCTTCACAGCGTGGCAGGAAGAACATCCATCATCTGGCCTTAAAGAGGTGCAGGGAGGTTTACAGCTTGGGTTCTGTGGTAGGACACCAAGGTGCTGTGGGGTGAGGGGAGCTGTAAGGCCCAGTCCTAACCCCAGTCCAGTCCCAGTGCCAGCCCAGTGGGCAGAGCCTTTCCATGGGGTAAAAGAGGAGCCAAGAGGCTTGATGGGATGCTGCCAGCAGGGCTTTTACCCAGCTGGAAACGTCTTGGAGAAGACTTCAAAGACTTGAAACTGCCATGCAGCTGGTGAGGGAGCTCTTAATCCCATTAGGATTAGGGATCAGAGCATCAGCAGCTGTGTTTTGGGAAAGGTTGGATGCTGTTAGTCTTTCAGAGTGAGTCTGCCCAGCCGGCCGCTCCAGGAGCAGGAAGGGCATCACCCCTGTAGACTCAGTTCTAAGGGAATTATTCTTACAGGTTCAGTTCCCACTGTCTCCAATGAAAGGGCAGGGCCTTACCCTGATCAGGTACATCCCTGGACCCCCCTAAATTGATGTCTGCAGTCTTCTCGGCACTTCCATGTGGGTAAACTGTTGGGATGTAATATTTCAGAAGACCTCTTCAGGTGCTCAGAGCTCTGCAGACTGAGCAGAGGGGGGTTGCTGGTCTGTTTTTTACAGTCCCAGGATTTTCCTGTGGCTTTTTCCTAGCTCAGTGGGGAAGAAAATTTGCCACCTCCTCTCCCTGAGGCTTCTCTCGTTTCTCGCCCACCCTGCTGGGGGCGGATGTGGGCTCTAATCACACACAAATTCACCTCGAGGTAAAAATGGGGTTATTTCCTGCCCTCTGTATTTAGAGTTTGATGTAACGTGCCCATAATGCCTCATAAGTGATCTATGGGGAGCTGCTTCCTTTCTCTGCTGTCAGTGGCTCATCCATGTGATGCTTTAGAGCCGGGGGTTGCAGGGAGAGGAGGAGGAGGAGGGGGAAGATGAAGCTGTTGATTTCAGCATCTCTTACCACACACTCTTGCACCGAGTACCTTGGCAACCCACTGAGCATCACGTTCTGCTCACATGGCTGTACTCCAGAGTGCTGCCTCAGGGTCACTTGGGGGACTCGCTCTGCCTTCAGCTTGCACATCATCATTTAAGGAAACATTTAACGATCAGGTGTGAGTTGGTGTCAGTTTGCTCAGAGAGGCGCTGTCTGAGCGCAGAGGTGCTGGAATGTGCCTCGCTGTGACAGCAGCTCGAGCTGCTCGCTGAATAATGACTTTGTATCTCCCTGAGCTTTACCCCCGTGCTGGGGACAAGAATTTCCACAGGCTGAGAAACGGGGCAGGAGATGGAGGTAAGGAGCGTGGAACCAGGCACTGACAGCCCCAGCCCCGGGGCTGAGAGCAGAGCTCAGCCTGCCCACACAACACTACCATAGTAGGAAGCAGCCACAGCAGCTCAGCCCGATGTCTTAACACACCCTCCATCATCCCAGAGTTCTGCTGGACGATGGAATTCCACCTCTGTATTTTTAAACCTCTTGAAGGGTCTCAGACATGTCACCTCATTGGGATAAGGCTCTTGGGGGCTGAGGGGCATTACACCTAATTTAAAACACATTCCTCAAGTTGCCTCTTATTCCAAACAAAACCTTGGAGCAGAGCATCACAGGACACTTGGAAAAGCCAGCTTTTCCCCTTGAGGTGCTGTAGCCTTGCCTAACTCCTGCACTGTGAGCTCCCCTGGTGTGGGGAAGGGAGTGAGCCCAAGTGCCAAGCACTCCCAGCAGGATGCTCGTGGTGTGGTTTGGAGCAGGAGCTACTTTAGGCTGGGGAGGGGCAAAAAAGGACCAAAAAAAAAAAAAATAAAATAAAAGATGTAGTTGGGAAAGAATTGTTTATTTTACGTTTCTCAGAGGGATTTTACAAACAATGGAGCATTTTAAAAAAACTGAGTGATCAAAGTACTTGACAGTGTCCCTTAAACACACACACAAGCCCCTGGACAGAGGAAATCACACCAGCGAGGAGGTCAATACTGCCGAGGAGCAGCTGCATCTGCATAGTTCTAGGAGGGAAGATTGTGGTGGTGCTAAAAAGTGGCATCCTGGCATTTAAAATAAGAGCACGGACCTGCAGGAAACAAAGTGCATCAAATACCACGCCGAGTATGTATTGGAGAATAAATTTATTTACCTGATACAAATGAAACTAAAGGTGTGATGCTCCTTTTACTGTCAGCATGTCAATAGACAATTGATCTTATTTACAACTTCTAAAGGTCACACATGCAGCTGTGGGAACTGGCTACGTCGTCGTTGCTTTTTTAGATAAATGCATCACGATATTTTGTATTGCACCAACATCTGTCTTACTGCCTTAGATTTAAATAAGTTACATTACAGTGCAAAAGAGGTTGATTTGCACAGATGATAAAAAAAATCCAAAGTTATGAAGTGGAGGCTTAACGGTTTAACATTCATCTGTAATCGTTTCCATGGATTTATAAATAGGAGAGCATTGTACAGAAGCTGTTGGAGTCGGATGTTTGGATGATACAATACAGAGAGATCCATCTACAAACCCAAGGCATGCATTATCTGATATTGTACATTGTATATAAACCGGCATTTTACATACAGGAAACATGGGAGATTGGCTGACAGCTCCGTGATTCTGGTTCAAGGAAAACCCAACTCTTCTCCATGCAGCACAGAAACCAACCTTCTCTGGAGAGAGTTCCGCCTCGAGAAAATCTACATTGCACGTTTGTACATCTGTATCATGGAGTCCTAATGGTACCACACATTTCTTCCACAGAGAACACAATGAGGTTTTTGTTTTTAGGGAAAGCAAAGAATCTTTACACGATACATGCAGAAGTTTTGGTAGATGTGTTGCTAAAAACACATGCACGCAACAAAACAACCTTACATTTCTGCAAAATTGTTTAGGAAGCGATTACTCCAGTATTGCTGAAAAGGAAAGAAAGAAAAGGCATCAGTTAATGAAAGGATGAATGCTCAGTTATCATTATACAAGCAAGACTAAGATCAACAGTGACAGAAGAAAGAATGTTAAGTTTGGTAACTGGCTGCTCTGTCGCTGAAGGGACACTCTCAGGTTACTTTGTCCTTAAAGCCCAGACCCTCTGGATTGAAGCTCAGCTCCTCTGAGCAGAGCTCCCTTGATCACCAGCAGAGCCAGCACTTCCTACCAAGGACTGCAGTGAAAAATAATTAAGTCATTTAATTAACTTTGGCCTTTCTCTGCCTGATCAGTGGCACCAGACAAGTCTCGCTGAGCTGGAATTTTGACTTTCAAGTTTCACCCTACACAGGTGGAGCTGAAGATTTTAAGGGTGTTTTTCTCCAATCGAGGCATTATTCCAAGTTTGGTCCCCAAAGTGACCTAACAATGTCCCTTTTCCAGGCAGCTTGTTCTGGGAAGCAGTAGGAAAGCTTTGAAGAAGTCATCACACTACACAGATTAACGTGTAGGCCGAGGGGAGAGTACAAGGCCCTGCAGCTCCCGCTGTCCTTCACCCCCACACCACAGAGCGAGGTCAGCCCTGTGTCTGGGAGAGCCTGGGGTGCTCTGGGGCCCTACAACTCCAGGGAAGCTCTTCCAAACACCGCTTCAACACTGTAAAATTTGGGCTCTCCTGCTAAGATTTGAAAATGCATATTAATGCAATTAAGGATGTAATTAGCAGAGATTAGGGAAACAGTTAATGGTTAGAAGTGCAAAAAAGTAAAACAAGACAGGTGCAAGAGACAGACGACTCTGTATCGGTTTTACCTCCCTTCATCTCAGCAAATTGAACCCTCTTTAGGCTGTTTACCAGGAACTGTGGGCAGGAGCTGTGTTCTCTGAACAGAACTGCTGTACTGCATTCTATCAGCAGATTAAAATCTCATTTTCGTACCATTAACCTCCCAGCCAGCCTCCCTGCAAACACGAGCCCTGGGGCACTTGGACAGACTGGGGTATGTTTTTCTGCAGCCTCTTTCATCCTCATTTATTTGCAGCAACGTTTTGGGAAACCAAGTATGAACTATTTTTATTGCTTGGATGGCAGCAAGAAGGAGCAGCTCGGTGTGTAGCTCATGGACAGCACTTTGGATTCGTTACGTGAAAGCAGAGGGAGCCCAAGGCACTGCAAAGACAAAAGCTCCTGTCTAAATATCCAATGTTGGGCTGCAGCTGCCTGAGCATCCTCCTTGCTACAGAACCCTGGATTCAGGAGGAGCTGCTCTCATTCCAAACCCCACTGGGTTCCCAGCACAAGCCAATATCCTTCCTGGTGTTCCCAGCATAAGGCAGCATCAATCACACGATTGATCCTGGTCTTACACATCCCTCTCACACTAGAAAATAAGCAGCGACGTGTGAGGGCACCAAGGAATCCAGAAAACAGCAGAGATGACAAAGCTTGGTGAGATGAGAGCAAAGAGAAACAAAAAAAAATATGAAGTTAATTTCTAGGAATGGAGTGGGAGATCAAGCCTGGGGAAGTTTGAGCTATTTCTGCTGCTGTTTGTGTGTTCTCAGGAACACAGGAAAATAGGAGTTACCTATTGCTACCCCCAGTTACCCTATTTCAACCTGGGGAGGCTGAAGAGGAAATATTTAGGACCAAAGAAATGAAATGAGAATTTCAAGATGTTGCAAGTCAGCCTGTTCTGAAAGGTCCTCCCTTCCTGGCTTCTGCAGATGAAAGGGCTGAGGCTGAAGGATGACAGGATCTATACAACTAAGGTAAACATTTGAGTTAACACATTTCCTGCAGTGAGTCCAAACCTTGCACTGCAGTTCTGTCCTTTCTGCAGCAGAAGAGCCATCAGAAGAGCAGCCTTTTCCTCTCCTACTGCAACTCCCACTGCCTGCTCAGCTCCCAGGGTGGAGCCCAGACCCACAGCACTCCCTCCAGGAACACAAGGTTGTGATTCCAAGGCAGGATGAGCTGCCCAGGAGGAAGCTCATGGTGGGTCTTAATATTTGGCCGATCCAGGCCAGACAAGGCTGGGATTTACAGCACCTGGAAAACAGAAGTCCTAAAGCACAGCACAGCTGCCACCGAGCCCTAGACCTGCACCTGCTGATCATGGGGAACTCTATTGTTCCATTTCTGCAGGGAAATCTGGACAAGACTGGGAGAAAACAAAAGAAAACCAGAGTAGATGAAGATTGCTTGGGCTCTGTAGGAGCACCTTTACGAGCTGACTGTTCCTGTAAGCTCCAGAGCCTGTAGGGATGGATCCTTCTCCATTTACCCACCACTCATCCAGCCTTCTAGGGCAAACTGGAGGAACACAAGGCCCTATCCCAAGTGCCTCCAAGACATGAGCAAGCTCTCAGATGTCTATGGAAATCCAGGACAAAAGCAGCAAGATTCATTTTCAACACAGACAGGTGCTGAAGACTGAATTCTACTTATCAACAGTCATTTTCCCTTCATCTTCTTAGAGAAGGAAAAAGGGGATGAATAGTGGGATCATTTAGCATAAAAGACAAGAACAGGATTGTACAAGAAGCAGGATCACTCATGGTGGCTTTAGAAAGGCCATCAACATGGTGCTCTGGAGGTTCAAGAATAACCAGTGCTCAAGGATTCAGTGGCATTCCTGCCCTGGAATATATTGATGTTGGGAGCACACAAGAACTAACTTGCTAGCATCTGTTTCCAACAAGTAACATACTGGGACATATTCTGATCTCAAGGAATCCTGAAATCACACGAACTATTATTTTTCCATTTCAAGACACAGGGTCACGCCTCACGCTGCTCTTTTGTTATCGATACAGCAAATGGTCACTGCAGGCCAGTGGTTTTGTGGAATGCAAAACCTTAGTTTGGCTCTTCCACGCTAAAAAAGGGCATTCAGGGGGATTTCAAATGCTCACAGTTCAGCAACACGCCTACTACATCATCAGGTCAGCTCCTCTGAGCCACCCCAGCATCGACTCCAGACAAGCCAAAGCCTCTGTAAACAGAGCACTCGCGATGCAGTGGAATTTCTGATGGAGCCTGAGTGTTCTGAGGGGAGAGTCTCTATTTGAGAGCTTAAACCAAGAGAATGATGTGTGCTCGCTGGATTCCAGCTGGCACCAACAGGAACAGCCTGCAACTGTCCCGGTCCTCCAGGAGGGATCTCAAAGCTGCCCGAATTTGGTTCCTCAGACTGAGCCAGCACAAGATAACACAGCACCTGCTGCTCTACAGGCAACGACCCCAGGACAGGTTTCAGAGACTGCCCTGCTAAGCCGAGACTGGGGTTTTTTTGCCTTCTCAGGTGGCCACTGCACAAATAATGAGCTGCTTTAGCCAGGAGCAGCACTGCAGGTACCAGGGATGAGGGGAGAGTGGGAGCCCCTACTTCAGAGCAGGGAAAAGCTTTGGAGTAAACCAGTACCTGACCACGAGTACCAGAGAGTTTTGGACACTAAACATTCACGTTCACAGCTGTCAGGGTCTTAAGTTTGAGATAAAATTAGACAAATCTGTAACTTAAGACCAAAAGCTGTAAAGACCTTGGGGCACAAAGGCTCCCGGGTGCTATAAAACAAGACCCTAAAATACACTAAACCAAAAGCAAGTGCTTTGCCTTTGGAATCGGTAATTTGAGCTTCAGACCACAAAACAAGAGTCTAAAGTGGTGATAATAATGTAGCACAGCAGAGTTTGACAAAACACAGCATGGGAATGAAGGAAATTACTATTTATTCTTCAACATGTATACATCATAATGCTATTTTACAGCAAGTCACCACTGGCAGGGTGAAATGGAAGAGAAATACTCACTTTAGTCGATGAAAGTTGGAAGGCATTGGAGAAAAACACCACAGTTAGGACTGTTAATGACTTACACATTGTTGATACAGGACTGAATTTGAAAACATGCTTTAACATTTACCGTAATAATGAAGGTGGTTAGTGCCACATCAAAATAAAAATAGTTCTATACAATATGTTCAATTTGGTCATGTGCTATTTACAGATTTTACAAAAAACACACACGAGCTTGTTACTTCAAGTCAGGCTTACAACAGGCCAGCAGAGTAACCCCATGGATACAACTGAGCATTAGTGCCCTAAGTGTAGGAAATCTAATTTCTACCTATGCAGTGCAAGTAATTTTTCCAGGTCTCATTGCAAATGTTGATCTTAAAGGGGGGAAACAAACAAACAAAAAAACCAAAAAAAAGAGAAAGAAAAAGAAAGGCTCTGATGTGTAAATAAAGTATTAAACCCCAAGTTAAACCCTCTTTTGAATTCATAGAGATTGTGTTTGTTAAAAAGGCTTTAAAGGAGACAGAAGTAGCCCTCCCTGTCCCTGCAAAACGGGCAACACTGGCAAAATAAGGTCTTGTTACAATAAAATACAATAGACAAAATAAATAATCTTAAAAAAAACAAAAAAACAAAAAAACAAACAACCCTATGTGTGTCGAGAGTATGGAAGAACCCCAGCAGGCTGCACCTGGAATGGCATTTTCTGCACGAGCAAGATTAGGCATTACCTCATACAGAAACTGGTGTAAACAAGGCCAGTCAAGAACCAAGAGTGAGGGAAGAGGGGAACCGAGAAGGAATCCTGACGGAGGGAGCAGGACCCTCTACCCAGTGCAGAAAGTTCTGCTCGTGAATCAAACCTGACTTCATGACAAATTAAGTTTGGATGATCATGCAGAAGACAAACAGTTACATGCTTTTTTAGTTTTAGACAACACACATTCATTCCCTAAAATCTGCTGCCAATTTAGTCTGATAGTGTCCGCTGGCTCAAAACAAATTTACTTCTCTTTTTTTTTTTTTTTTTTTTTTTACATGATGAATAAGACTATTGAACAGAACACTGTACATGCTTTTCATCTACAAAAAAATATTTGCATAAAATAGTGTTAGTTCTCTGTACATGTCAATGGACACTTTAACTGTGTATAAAAGAGGAATATATTGCCCCCACTGAAGTCAGAAAAAGAAAAAAGAAAAAAAAAAACAACCAAAAAATCTAGATTATGAAACCTCCATCACCGGCAAATATGTTCATGTGAAAATTCAGCAGAAATAGACAGTTGCTCTAAACAATAAAAAAATTAAGTTAAACTCTTTTTTTTTTTTTTTTCTCCTTTGAATGTAAAACTCGTCACCGTGTCAGTCAAGACCAGAACATATCACTAAAGTTAGTGTCTGTGCTGTAAAGCCAGATAACCAAGGGCATAGTAATGAACACAAACGGCCAGGAAACTCCTTCGGTGCATGCTGACAGAGCACAGGGTTTGGTGGCAGGCCTCACACTATCTTTACCAGGTTCCAGGTAGTTACGGGCCACATATTTAAGTGTTTCATCCAGCAGAATGACAGGGAGGGAGATTTTCAACACCATCAGCCACTGAGTCACATTCAACGGCGTGATCTGGAAGATAATCTGAAAGAAAAGCCGAGTGTTACGGAACCCCAGGATGTGCCCAGTTGGAAGGGACCCACAAGGATCAGCAAGTCCAACCCTCAGCCCTGCACAGGCCCATCCCCAAGAGTCACACCCTGTGCCCCAGAGGATCATCCAAATGCTCCCCGAGCCCTGGCAGCCTTGGGGCTGTCTGGGGGAAGAACCTTTTTCTAACATCCAACCTGAATCTGTCCTGACACAACTCCAGGCCATTCCCTGGGTCCTGTCCCTGGTCCCCACAGAGCAGAGCTCAGTGCCTGCCCCTCCTCTTCCCCTCAGTCTCCAGCTGAACACACCAAGTGCCCTCAGCCGCTCCTCATACCGCCCCTCAAGGCCCTTCCCCATCTTCACTGCCCTCCTCTGGACACTCCCTAATGCCTTAATATCTTCCTTACATTGCAGAGACCAAAGCTGCCACAATATTCCAGGAGAATCCCTGCTCCCCCTCCAGCCCCACATGGGTTTGTGCTCTATCTCCAAGGTGGGTGTGAGACACGGGCACTTACTGGCAGTGGTTCCACATAAAGGATAAGGAAGTGGAGGGACATGGACAAGCAAATGGCTCCCACCAGCCAGATGTTCTCCCACGGGGGCATCCTCATCAGGGACTGGTTTTCTGACAGGCTGCAAGAGGAACATGGGACGTGTGTGTGTAAGTAACACCGACAGGAAGCTCCATGAACCACAACACCATCCAGACAGCACAGCAAGGCACAGGGATCCCAAGGAGGGAAGGTCCCAGGAGAGGGTTTATATGCATGTTGCAACTTTAAACTACCCTGAAAGTCAGCTTAGAGAAGCAGTCAGTCAGCCTCACATTTAATCCTGAAAGCTCTTTTATGTTCTGCTCATTCCTGATCTGGTCCATTCTTTTCACAAAATCCTCCCTGTGGGAAGGGCAAGGGAAGGATGGACATGGCAGCATAAGACAGAATCCACCTCAGTCCACCCAGTTCTTCTGAAGTTCACTGAGAGACTGACAGAGGGTCAAGTATTGGCACCTTCTTTAATCCTGCTCTTGATTCCACCTGCATTGAGGCAGAAGAGGCTGAGATCCAGAGCACTGGATGTAGAGCAGCACCTTACTATGTAGGACTACCCCAGTACACTTGTATTTGAAGTTTATTTGTTTTTAAATTAACTGACCTCTAAGCTATTTGAAGAAAAATACCCTTGACATTGTGCTATTTAGTGGTTTCCATTTATAATCTAATATTAATTGGCTAAACCCACACTCCCTTAGGGCAGGAAAAACTATTTTCCATATCTTCAGCATTCTTATTTTAGTTCTCCTTGATATCACTTTATACCAACATAGGAGGGGATAATCTGATTGATTAAGCTTAGATTAAAAATAATGGAAAATATTTCAGTTGCTTGTGCTTAGTAAAATACCAGAGTGAATTGGCAGCCTTAAAAATATACCTTACGATAAGAGATCTCAAATGTTATCTCAGAGTCATTTTGTTTGCACTACCAGGGCTGAGAAAGGAAACGTGACTCATTCTTTGTTAGCTGAGCTGTCCACCAAGAATGAAATGGCACAAAAAAAGCAGGATTTGGGATGAGTTAAGCAGAGACTCTGCCTTCCTGCCCAGACACACGAACCTGTTGAGAGCATTGCACATCTCTATGGTGACGAGCACAGACAGAGCCATTGTCATCGGATACGGGGACTCGAAAACCACGCAGTCCACCCCGAAGAAATCCGGATTGTCCTCTTTGCACTGCAGAAAATGGCTCTGCAACAGAACAATGTGAGCTCACTTCCACAGCTTGTTAACTTGGGAAATTGTAAAATAGGCAATTAGGCAAAAAAGCAGTGAATATCATAGAGAAGTTTCTACTGTGACTCTCAAACCCAGTGCTTATAAACTTTTGCCCACTTTCAAAAAATCCCCTTTAGGCTTTTACTTACAAGACAACAATTTAACCCTTCAAATTGTTAGAGGCTCAGGTATCCCACCCCTGAGCTTTACAGTTAAGACTAATTAATCATGATCAAATTTTACACTAACAAGTCTGCAAATGTTCAGTTATATGAATTCCTGCAATCTACCAGTTTTCTACAGTCATTTCAAGCATGAAAGCAGCAGGTACCTCCCCTCTCCCCCCAAGGATATTAAACTGAGTAAATACCAGTTGGTAAAAGGAAACTCTTGGACCACCATCAGCAGCAATAAACCACCAAGCAGCAGCACCCACTGTGGCAGCACCAACATAGCCTGGAAGAAAACAAAGTGCTTTTCTCAGCGCTGTGAACTGTACGCAAAACAAGACCTCACTTGCCACACTTGAACTTCTACCTCAAGGCTTCCAGCACTGGAGAAAAAAAATGAGTTTTAATTCCTGTCTTAGAGTTTATTTAAGAGAAAAAAAAAGCCATTAGTACTCACATCCAATAGCCAGGTAACGGAAGAAGAGCCACCCACTGATCAGGGGCTCTTTGGGGTTGCGGGGGGGCTTGTTCATGATGTCCAGGTCGGGAGGGTTAAAGCCCAGAGCGGTGGCAGGGAGACCATCAGTCACAAGGTTTACCCACAGCAGCTGGACAGGGATCAGAGCTTCAGGAAAACCCAGGGCAGCAGTCAAGAAGATGCTATAAAGAAACCCACCGGTTACAAGTTTATTCATGTAATCAGTCCTTTAAGGTTTAAGCCTAAGCCTGCAGCATCGCTTCTGTTCTTTCACACAGAGCTCTCTTCACTTCAGATCACAAGCTGAGTATTCAAAATCAGAAAACTAAAACCATGTCCAAGAGCAAACACTTCTAACCACTAAAGCATGTAAGCTTTGAAGCATTGTCTTCTTTTGGTAACTTCAAAAATTGAAGGTTTTGCTTTAGGCTTGTTTTTCTCCACTTGTCTGTAGAGGTAAATATATATATACACACACATATGGATAAAGGCTTGCAAGCCACTTTCTAAAAGACATTTTAGCTCGAATGACTAAGCTGCATTTCCCTAGATCACTGCTGCTCCCTGCAGAAGTTTAATGAGCATGTAGCTTTCATGGCTCCAAGGCTGGGGGAATAAATAGAACAGAAACAGGGGCTGCAGCAAGAGCCGTACGAAGGACGGCTTTAAAGTTGACAAGAAACAAAGCAAGACAATTGCTGTGTTTTATCCCACTCTGGGAGAAAGTCTGCTTTGAAGTGAGGGCTGTGAGGAGATCAATATTGAGACTCAGCTACCAGAAATGCATCCTGTGGTGCTGGGTCACCACTGCTCCTCACAGAGGAACACAAGACACGTTCCTGGAACCTGAGGTTAAACAAACATCTAAGCTAAGCCTGTGACTCAAGTTACCTGAAACTCCAGATCTTGTAATATTTGATTAAGGTTTTTGTTTCCCATTCTAGAGAATTATTCCAATCATAGAAATAATTGGAAAGTATTACCTACTGAGCTACAATATTCTGTGTAACAACACAATGTGCAGCTTCTGGGGCCAGCTACAATTCTTCACTAAAGACCAGGCCGACATACAACGCCCACAATGATCGATTACCTGCAGAACCTGTTCCTCTGGTTTTCCTGAGAAATACTGAAGTAAATAACCAGCAGAAGTCTCCACCATCACTACTCCAGTTCAAAGAAAAAAGAGACTTAAACCTACCAAACAACCTCCCCAACGTTGGAGGAGATCAGGTACCGGATGAACTGTTTCATGTTGTTATAAATGGCACGTCCTTCTTCCACAGCAGCGACGATCGTGGAGAAATTGTCATCTGCTAAAACCATTTCAGAGGCAGTTTTAGCCACTGCAGTGCCAGAACCCATAGCAATTCCAATTTCTGCCTTCTTCAGTGCAGGGGCATCATTGACACCATCACCAGTCTAAAACGAGAATTCAGAGTTGAAACAAAACATTAAATAAATATGGTGGGGATTTATGTACAGGGCCAGAAAGGAAATGCTGGGCGTGGGTTTGGATCCTTAAACATCACTAAGTGCAAAACTATCCTGAGGCTTTGGAGTTCAAGGAAATGTGCAGACAAGTGTTTTCCAGAACGGGGCATTAGTCTGAAAGGGCCTAATTAGTGTTTAAACACAGTGCTTGCCTTTCAAACCGAGGAGCGGCTCCATCGCTTACCATGGCTGTGATCTCATCGAAAGACTGAAGGAACTCCACGATCTTGGATTTGTGGGAAGGCTCCACCCGAGCAAAGCAGCGGGCGTGGTGACAGGCGTCCCTCTGGGCAGCGAGGGAGAGCTCATCAAACTCCCGGCCTGTGAAGGCCTTGGTGGAAACGTCCTCGTCCTCCACGAAGATCCCGATGCGGCGGCAAATGGCCACGGCCGTGCCCTTGTTGTCCCCGGTGATCATGATGACCCTGATGCCAGCCTGTCTGCACAGCTTGATGGATGAAGCTACTTCAATCCTCGGGGGATCCAACATTCCCACACAGCCCACAAAGGTCAAGTTGGTCTGGAATGAGACACAGCAAGTGTCAGGGCAAGATCCTGTGGATTCCTCACCTAACAGCAGTGAAAGCCTTTTGCTTGCACGTTACATCTCTCTCAGTGTAGTGGTATCTGTTTGTACTCCTTGTCCTACCTTTCCGAACAGATTTTGCTTCAAATTTTCTTGGCTAAAACACGCTCTACTTGCCAGCTTTACAAATTCAACCTGCAAGCATCGAGCCTTTCATTTTGGTTATCAGTGCCAGGAGCGCAGAGCACAAGCCAAAAGCTCTCATGCAACTGTTATTTCCCTCCCTCCAAATACCAGATACAGATTTCACTGGAAAGTTACAGAGCAGCAAAGATGATAATCATGGACTGAGCCCCTGCAGCTGACAGCACGTTGCATACAATGGCAGGTATGTTCCAGCACAAAATCCCCAAAGAGCTCTTGCAGTTGGGCAATGCCAAACTGAAAACCACCAAGGCTGAAACCACAATGCCGTTTTGGGAATATTTTTCAGAGTCAGTCTCTGAGAACAGTTGAAGGAGTTATGATCCTGAGGACTGGATCCTGCAGCTGGCTTTGTAACTTCTGCCAGCCACCAACAGTTTCTTCTAAAACACAAAGTCTCTTCTTACACTAAACATTCCCTCCACACACAACAGTGGGTAACTATTGTGTCTGACACCAAAAATAGCCAGAAAGTTCTCAGATGTAACTTCCTCAAGAAATAACCAGACATAAGGAGTTCCATTTTCCGGTTTGGGAGAAGGAGAAGTGCCACCAATCTTACCTCATAGTTAATGAAATTTGAGGAGTCCTCCAGATTCATCTCCTCTTTCTTGGGAGGATTGTCGTGGGTTGCCAGAGCCAAGCAACGCAATGTATCTCTACCAGTCCCCCATTCCCTAATGACAGACATGATCTTCTGCTTAATTCCAGGGGTTAATGGTATTTTAGCATTTCCAACACGGACATGTGTACACCTGTCAATCACACCTTCAGGAGCACCCTGCAGAGGCATAACAAAAAAGTGATTTAGCTTAATAAAACCCTTGCTTGCTTAAATTACAAAGTCCTTCCTCCATCTTCAAGCTGCAGTTCGTTGCACCATAATTTTTAAGTGTTGTGCTGCTTTGCAGCCATCCCACAGCTCCAGCTGCTCAGGTGAGGAACTGACCTTCACAAACATCTTGCTCATGGACGTGCGGCTCGGTTTGTTGGGCGTGCAGTAGACAGACATGGACTTTCTGTCTCTTGAGAATTCCAGAGTGAATTCCTTCTTCATGAGTTGTTTTATCACCTTAAAAAAAAAGAAGGCAACAGCATAAAAATGCATGTAGATAATACACACTATGGATCTCTGTCCCAAAACCATCACGGAGCACTCACCGAGTTACACGCGTTGGCACGTTCGATTCTGGAAAGTCCTTTCAGGTCTGTGTCAAACACATTCATCTTCTCCACCAGGCAGGTAAGCGCTGTTTCTGTGGCTTCACCAACCTTCTCATAAACTCCCTTAGCCTTTAGTCAACACAAAGCAAACACAGGAGTTTAAACCTCACCTGGAACCCACCAGAGACAGAAGTTCAAGTTTCACAATGGGAAAAAAAAAAAAGGGGGGCTTAACAAGATTTATTGTGGCTTATGAAACAAGCAGAACTATTTTTAAAGAGCAGCTCTGAAGAGTATGATTTGTAGGAATTTGAAGCCTTTGCTCTCAAGAGCAGCAGAGAAAGATGTCAGTACTTTTCATCAAGCATTTAAGCCATTATGAGATGTAGCAACCCTAAGGCAGAGAGGCAAAGCCAGAAAGCAGCAGGAGATCTCCAAATTACAGATTACACTTGCTGCTGCATTTACTTTTCTCAGTATTCAACAAACAAGTAGTTCTCAGAATTAATACTTCAGAGGACCTAAATACTCTCCCCCGCCTTGATTAGAAGGGGATTTACCATGGAAAAGCACTACACAGATGAGAACAAACCATTTATCCCTGTTCTTGCTCTCCTGTGTTCCAGGGTATGTTCTTACCTCATTGTAATCCAAAGAGGAATCATTGCAGAGTGCACAGATCGTTGCAAGTTCCACAAGTCCGTCATACTGACTACATTTAATGAGTTTGTCATCTTTGTGCCTTTCCAGAGGGAGAAAAGGGGGAGAACCAAGTTAGTTATTTAGCATGAGCATCTCACCTTTTCCTCCAGTGACAGTCACACAGCAATGTGGGAAGGAGCTCAGTGAGGAGGCAAAGGAAAGCAGGATCAGAGTGTGTGCAGGGCTTGGAGGGGAGTCCCAGGAAGGAGAAGGATATTGTTGGATTCCTTAGGCGTTTAACTGTCTTCCTACTACATATTCTGCAGATTTACTGCAGTGCATGCACTGGGCAGGTCTAAAAAGCAGATCTCACCTCTTCTAATTTCTTAAAAATCAATCTGTACTATATGTGAACCTCCTAAACCAGTGAAAAGCCAAGTCACCTCACAACACAAATTCCACTAGAACAGAAACACCTTCCTAGCAGTAAGACACACTCAGAGATCAATACCTCAGGTCTTAAGAGAGAAGGAAGGTACAAAAAAGAAATAACTGCTTTGCTCTCTCATTTGGAAACAGTTAATAAATTAATTCCTTTTCTGGAGCACTACCATACTTCTACAGCGAGCATAAAAGAACCAAGCCAGTGTTCAATACTGTTATTTTCCCCCTACCAAAACCAGCATGACAGAACTAAATATATAACATCTTTTATTAAAGCTCTCCGGGAGGGAAATAAAAGGCCTGATGGTGGAAAGATGTGGATCACTACTCCATAAGAATCCACAACACAGACTATGACATGTCCCATTATGTAACCTTTTGTTCACTTGTGATGTTGCAAACAAATTCCAGTGTTGTGTAACAAAGCACGTGAACAAAACGGATCTTAAGAAAACAAATTTGGGTTCAGCAATTTCGTTTTGTATAGAATTCAACAGCGGCTTTGAAGTGTCAACTCTTTAACCTTCTCAGCAGCTCTTGGGTTGTCATCTCGCCTATCCCAGCTAAAACTTCCTGTTTTCACCTGTTCTGAACTTGAAGAACATACTGGAACATCCATCACTTGTTATACCAGGGTGGGGGTTTTATCAACAAGTTGTTCCTTATTAACAATTTCTGAAGAATGGCAAAGGCAGAGTCTGAGGTGCTGGGATCAGTTCTGGGTGAAGGAAGGGTTTTTTTTCCTTCCAGCTTCAGGCTTTTCAATTAGCTAAAGATGAACCCATTTGAAGGTCAAATGCAATCTCTGCCAGCTTTCGCTGCAGTTCTTAATTACTGTAAATTTTGTGCTCTCAGTTTGCAGTAAGCACGTGCTGAGACATGGCAAAACTACTTCAAACTGCCTGACAACCTCCAACATCCCTGGGAAATAAATCAGCGTGAAATTTGGAGTTTTCTCTACGATATATTTGTTATTTTATATGCACCTCAGAGGAGAATTATAAATATCAAATATTTGAAGAGTTAATGAAAAATTACTGATTTAGTGCAAAAACCACTTTAGTGGTTATGAGAGAGAACAGGCTGTGGAAAACAACAGTGCCCGAAGTACAAAGTACCACGTGTCAGAAATGGTGCATATCTGGAGCAGGTCCTGCTCTGGGGCAGTGCAGTGGAACAAGTGCCTCTTAACCCCCTCAAACATCATTTCTGGTGACAGTTTGTAATCCAAGGTGAAGTCAGTCACTTAAAATCCCTACAGAGCCCCTGATTTAAAAGCTGTCCATAAAGGCAGAAAGAAATAAGCCCTAAAGGTTCGAGAGTTCAGCTGTTTCTCCTCTGACAGCCTCTCTGAGGCAATTTCCCTCTCACAGAACCCTTTTTGTAGGTGAATGTAGCGTGTTTAACACACTTGTTCACATCTCCCCGGCTCCAGCAAGTAAAACCAGAACATTAACATATACTGATGTCTGTCTCATTATCCTCAACATCTGCCACCACACTATATTTTATTATTTTGTTTATCTAGAGCTCTTGTGAGACCAGCTAGAGCTCAACAGTGTCTGCAAGGTCTAGAGTGTCACCTTGCCTGAAATGAAAGCACAAGCTTTTGACAGCAATTAGCTTTGAAACAAAAAAGAGAATTGGGGAATTAAAGAGTCCCAGCTGCAGAGAACACCAGGCTTTTAAGTGCCATGGAAATTAAACAGATAATCACTATTGAGATGGGTGAGATGGCAGGAGGCAAACAGTGAAACTGCACAAGGCTGAGATGTTTACAAGAACTCAAGTGAAATTCTCTTCTGCAAGTAAACCTGAAGTGATAAGATGCAAAACACATCAAAGACTGACCAAGCAAAAGGAGCTGTGACAACCCAGTCGAGAAGCAGAGCCCTAAAAATTCCTGAAGTTGTCAGGATGAACCATCTACCTCACTAGCAGAGACTTGCAACTGATAAAGTAAACCAAACCTCATTCCTTTCCTAAGGGACTGGGTTTAGCACCAGCTCAAATACCAAAGGCTGAGACAAACACACACATCTTGTCAAGTAGGGATGCACCAATAAACCACTGAGGAATTTACAGTAAATTTAAGAATTAACTCCAATGCATTCAGAAGATATCTTAGAAAAAACAACTTCCACCTTTCTCCAAGGCAGAGCAATTAGAAACACTGAGTTCACAGATTAGCAAAGCCTCACCTCTTCAGATTGATCCAGTTTTTAAATAAAAAAGTAAACCTCATTTTGAAGCACAGGGATAGACAATCTCAGCCCAGTAAGATTTCAGTACAATAAATCCTCTCTACCCCTAATTCATTTTTAGATTATCAAAGGGCCACTGCAATACTGGAGGTTGTATTAGGCAAGTTTTATGAAGGTTTACTCTAGAATTTAACTTTGTTTTCCTGTTAATTACTTTTCTCCCAGCCCTTCAGTGTGCATTCACTGGCTGACCTTTCATTTATTAACAATCACTATTGAGTATCATATGCATCACTTTTCAGGACTAAAGTAATAGTTAATGCATAAACAGACAAATATTTAACTTCCACAGAACACTTACACTTCTCCCATGGGAGCATATGTTGAACCAGTGACAGTAAATTCGTTCAGGGAACAGCTGTCTCCTTCCACTCTGTCCAGGATAAACATCTGAAATGAGAGGGTTAGAATTGTTACTATCTTTGAACAATAATTAATGCAAGAGATTTAAACAGGCCTAGAGCAAGGAGGTCCAAGAGGCAAGTTTAGGTTGAATAAACAAAGCAGTCAAAATCTGATACTCTGCACTTCGATCCCCTCATGTTTGAACAGCTCCATATTCTGAAGCCACAAAGTACAGAAAACAGCCCTTCTGCTTTGAAAACTTGAGACACAAGGACAGCAGAGCTGAAAAACACAAACTTAGGTGCACTTCAGCTGTGGAGACTCCTCACACACCACTTGACAATCCTGACTATACCCAAGCTCTTCCTAAGCTTCAGTCCTGCGGATTAATTCTCATGGAATATGAATCAAGAACTATTTCTCTGCTTTGAAACAGCAGTTCCAGTCAAAAGCAGCACAGGACAGCTTGGAAACTGATAATTACTGCCAAAGTCAAAATAAAAACATCTACAAATAGGAGAAGCTGGGAGATCTAAGGGGTGAGGATTTAGACAAGAGCCAGACTATGGCTAATGTGCCCTAACACCAGGCTGAAATGAAAGTGTTTCCTGTCCTGATTTTCTAGTTACAGGGCACTTTACCACATGGTGCACTGGTAGTTTAAACCATTCAGCCAGCCCCAGTGCTCTCTTAGCACCGGTGAAATGACATTTTCAAACTCAGACACCAACCTGCAGGATACACTTGTACCCCTGAGAGACCTGCACCTCACTCTTCCCTCTGTTTCCCTTCTGGGAGAGCTGCAGGCAGAGCCACATCTCAAAAAAAATGATGAAAAACAGATGAAAACTACAGTGCCTGAAGCTGCCTCACTCTTCCTGGCTTGCTGGAGTGGCAGTGGAAAAGATAATTTCTCACTAAATGAGGGTGTATCTTAATGGAACTTCTCATCCTCTGGTTAGCACAGGTCGTTTTGTCACATCACATTTTAGCAATGTCTCCCCCTCCCCTCCTCGTGCTGCCCCATGTTTTACATGAGCATCCTCACAAAATACAGCCTAATAAAATAAAGTTGTTCAAAGATTAGAGTTTTGCTACCAGAATCTTGCAGTTCATGTCATTTTGCGGCTGCCAGAAGTTAACAAGGAACCAAGGAAAGTTGTACTGCACAGGATCTAAAGCATTTACCTCTAAATAAGGAGTAGAGCATTTTGAGTTTTTAAGTAAACATAACTTAAACGATGAGTTAACCAGGAAGCCTCCTGCTTTTGGCATCTGCATGATGAAAAAATCCCTGCAAAGACTAGGGCAGTTATGCAACTCTACTGCAAGTAACCTCCTCTGGAATACTGATGAGCAGCTGCTTTGTGTCTCTTAGGTATAAATACTACGATACTTAAGGAAGTAGAACAAGTCACCCACCAATTAGGAAGAAAAAGCCATCAATCACATGAGAATAAAGTGCCTAGGGCTTACAAACTTCGGCCACTGGTGTGCAGTGCTCACCACTCACACATTTGGAATTCTAAGCCAATGTAAGGAGACTCTGAACATTTGGTGTCGGAGCTGCTGAGCCACTGAACTTCTACAGTCACCAGACACAAGAACTCGGTGTTTTCTCCATAAAATCCCTGCACAGAAGCACCAACTGGCAACTGAACAGGCATTATGATAAGGGACTAGCTGTAAAAGTCCCAAAATAACCAACACTAAAAGAACATTGGGGGGAAAGGAGGAGGGGCACAGAACTCATGCTCACCTAAAAATACACCAAAAACTGAAGATGACCCTGGCAATGCCGGCAGGGCCAACTGCACCTCCAAGCTGCCAGATTAGTCAGACAGTGCTGCACACTGAGCACACCACAGTGATCTCCATCAGAGCAGTAAGAGCTACTGGAGATAAGATAGCCAAATAAAGGTGGAGCCACTCAGCAGTGAAAACACCTTTGACTATCAAAGCTACTGCAGTAAATCTACTTTTCTCATACTAAGTTTCTCCACCTGTGGCTATCTTTCTCAATTAAATAGGTAAGTGTTTAACACTTACACACATCCTGTTCCAGAGTGTAACTTTCTGAAACAGGGCACAAATCCCACCAAAAAATCACCAATAACGTGAAAAGCTCACAGAACAGTCAATGGAAAGCTGCTTGCAGACAACTTTCTCTTCCATCCAGAGCTATTTCTGGCCATGACTAAATAAGGGAAGAGATAAAAGCCCTTCAAGACTGCACAGTGGAAAACTGAATTAAAAGTGGAAGCTTATCTTAGGAAAATAAAGCAGGATTTTGATGAGATGAGAACCCAAAGACTCAGGATCAGAGGAATTCCAGCAATGCTGACTATTCAAACGGAGTGGCTGAGGAGAAGAGCAGAACTGGAAGAACATACCCTGCACACTGACATCTGGTTCGTGGTCAGAGTACCAGTCTTGTCAGAACAAATGACGGAGGTGCAGCCCAAGGTTTCCACAGAAGGCAGACTCCTGACAATGGCATTCTTCTTGGCCATCCTGCGAGTTCCCAGGGCCAGGCAGGTGGTGATGACAGCAGGGAGACCCTCGGGAATAGCAGCCACGGCAAGAGCGACGGCGATTTTGAAGTAATAGATGGCCCCTCGGATCCAAGAGCCGCCGTGCACGGGGTCGTTGAAGTGGCCGATGTTTATTATCCACACGGCGATGCAGATGAGGGAGATGACTTTGGACAGCTGCTCCCCAAACTCATCCAGCTTCTGCTGCAGGGGGGTTCTCTCCTGCTCAGTAGCCACCATCTCATCACGGATTTTCCCAATTTCGGTGTTCACTCCTGTCGCAATAACCACTCCCATGGCCTTGCCAGCAGCGATGTTTGTACCCTGAGGCAGAGAAAGATGAGGGAATAGAAACCTTGCAGACAACCTATAAACGGTTTGTGTTTGGGTTTGTTCTGAATTTAAACAAAACACCACAAAAATACCCTAAACCACCTTACACAAGTCTGGATTGTGTTTCAGCCTGGAGATAGAAAAAGAGGAAGAGGATGACACTGCCCCTGTGTCTGTAAGGGAACATTCCAGTGTGGAATTTTTCCTTCCAGAACAGGCCTGAAATGATTCAGTATCGATCCGTCACGAGCAGCACAGGCAAACCCAGGTGCTGAGTAAGCACTGGGGATTTCAGCTGCAGTCTTAGGTGTGGTTTTCCTTTCTTCTTTTTTTTTTAATTAGGACTGTATTTTGCCAGATTTAATGTTATTTACTGTGAGTAATAGATGTGTTCTCTGGGGCTCCCCGTGTGAACAGACATACATGAGACAGAACAGTTAAATTTTCTGCCAGCAATCAGTTATTTTCTTACCTGAAAGGTATTTAATCCTTCCTTTGAACAAACTGGAACAAACTGTTTCAGTCCTATACAGTTTTCAATTTTAGCCACACAATACCACCATTTGTGTGGGCATTCTTATCACTCATAAGAACTATCACTTTAGATAATTAATGTAGAAGCACTTTAAAAGTGTGTGTGCTCCAGCTTTCAGAACTTCCCTGTGAAGGACAAAAATAACTTTCCTCATATAGGTTTCATCCAACATCTTCCCCGAGGACAGCTTTTATTAAAAGTTAATTCTAATTTTTAATTCACTTAGTACCTGGAGACACACACGGACATGTGTATAGAGAATATAACAAAAATCCTACAGCTTTTGGGGAAAAATTTGAAGTTCTGCACACTTTTATCAGCTTCAGAATTATTTTACAAGCAATTTGAAAATTTCAAAACTTACAGAAAAGAGCATGTTCTTCTTGTCTTGGTTCACAGCACGAGGATCAGGCACAGGGTCAGTGTGCTTAATAACAGACACAGATTCACCTAAAATAACAAGAGAATGTACACGTATCTTGAGTCCTGAGGGAATCAAAAAGTTGTAATCCTAGTCCTAAAATATCTAAGATGTTAAACTTCTTTCCTCAAGTGATTTTATTTAATTGCTTAAGTGAAACAGGGAGTATTGCAGTTGATCAAGAAAACTGAATGGCTGACTCGTAATGAAAATTATGTATCTGTTTCTGTGAACATGTCACAGGTATAGAAAGGTTCCTTTTCTGTGGAAACACATGTTTGTTGCTGCATCAGATTTCACAAGGTGGTGCTCTCAGCTCCAGGCAGAGTTACACTACTTTGTGCAACCTCAAGAGAACCAAAGGTTCCCACTTTTAAAAGGTTTTTGTTAAAAAGCATCTTAGACTTCAGTTCTACTTTGTTAGTCAGGAGGCTGTAGCGTCAACTTGGTTGAAAACAGAATTCTTTAAAATAAGACTTCTGTTATTTAAATAAAGCCAAGGAATCATTCCCTTTTTATAGATTTCTGGTGGGTCATTTCTTCTACTTATTTCAGTTCCAACCACGGAGTGCCTCCGTTTTCTTCTGCTAAACATCAGTAAGCTTGATCAGTTCTGTGCTATTCAGGATCTGCACTGAGAGACTCTGGGGCTTCAAGGATGAAAAATAGCTTTCCTATGAACACTTTAGTGTTTTAAAATTCAGAGCTAGTTAACATTAATTTATGCTACCAAAACAGGGCTGACAGATCTTCACGTTCCAGCTGAAAGCAAACTGTTGGACCACGCTTGGTCGATTCCCAGCTTCTTTCCTATATTCAGAAGTACTTCTACTTTGTTTTGTTTTCAACAAATCTGAAAAGGGGCTCTAAAAATAGCTCCTGCACTTGAGGGCTGGGTACCAGAAAACACACGAATGTGTGTGCACAGAATTTCAGCAAATAAGGCTCGAGGAGTGTGCTGGGCCTTTAGTAACAGCAGCTTAAATGCTGCCAGTATTGCAGAGACAACAGAGCACTGGTGCAGAAGACATTTAGGAAGATTTACTTTCATATTTGAGTGGTGACAAGATGTTCAAACCTAGAAGACTGTGTAAACTAGAAGAGAAATTCTGAATTTTTTATATTTTAGTTTTCCACAAATTACTTGTGTCTGTGCTGGCGTTAAGGGGGGAAAGGACAACCAAAAAACCGTCACAAGTTTCAGCAAGAATGTTCATCCCACTAAAAGGACACAAAGCCAGTGATGAAGCAACACATTCAGCCACTCAAAGTTACCAGGTCAGAACTGTGCTGCATGGAATGCAACAGAGTAATTCAACAGCTGCAGGCTTGTTTCTAATGGATTATTCAAAATAAACGGTGCAAAGGCACTTCCAATTATGCACATAATTATACAAAAATCACAGAAATACCTGTGAGAATTGACTGGTCTACCCTTAGAGTTGTAGACTTGATGGAAGTAATTCTTATATCAGCAGGAACCTTGTCTCCAACTACAAAGAAACCACAGAACAAAGTTAGAATGTTGTTCTTTGAGAGATTCCTAACCCAGTGAACTATTACCTGTATCAGCCAGAAAAGTGACTTTCCAGTACCTGTTCAGATGACTAAAATCACCGACAGCTGCCTTTGTGATCTGCAACACTCCAATTTTCGGAGCATCCAGTTCAGAGCTGCCCCTACCTAATCTCAAAGAAAGCAGCTGTAAATCACTGGCTTGTTTTTCTAACCACATGGCCCTTTGAAAGCAAAGGGAAAACATTCTCAAGAGCAAGATATCCATTTCAGAAGACGAATTTATAAACAATCAAACCCCAAGGTGAATCAAGTTCCCTTGTCCAGGACAACTGGTCCTGGAGAGTCTTCTGGTTGTTTTTCTCTATGCCCAAAGCGAGTCCTCTGCACTCCAAAGATCGAGTTCTCCCCATTTATTTATTTAGAAAACTAAAAGAAGTTGTATTTTCCTTTTCTTTGGCACCAATTGTGAGAATAACGTGCTTCTGCAAATATGCTCTTGTAATGTTATACTTTGAATTCTGCCAGATGTTTCAGAGTTGGGAGTTCACTGCAGATCACACAGTAGCTTTATTTTCCACTAATGTTGCTCTATTAAATACACCCCAATCCACATCCCAGTTACAATTTCCACACAGCTCTCATGTTTATCTTACAATATACGTTTATACCTTCCAGAAGAAAGCACTGGAGAAAAAAAATTAAAACAAACAATGCACAAACAAACTAAAAAACGCCCACTAACAAGTGTTTGAGATACCAAGGTAGATGATGAAATTTAACAGCACCTAAAAATGGCAGAGTAATGAAACCACAGTTGCCAGCTGAGTTCCAGCATCTCCATCATCCCACAGTTAATTCTTCTACCTTCCTACTTCTTCTTATCCAGCTTTTCCTAATTTTTAAGAATTTTTAAGAAAAGAACTAAAGCCCCACCATTTTGTGCCTCCTGCAAACAAATGGCTGCATGCAAATTCCCTCGCTAAAGCACATTAATGAGGCTCATTTCTGACTCATCTGGAGGGGTTCTCCACTCTGCACGTCAATTTTCCACTGAACACACAATGCTGAACACTCCTGATGTAATTCAGCCCTGCAAGCACTCAAGTGCCAGCTGTGTTATCATAAAATAATGCAAAGAAACAAAGAAGGGAGGATAACGAACTAAAGACAGCTGAGCTGAGTGGATGGAGTGTGTGTCCCTGCAGGAAAATTAAAATAAGCTGCAATTCCTGCAGGAACTGCTTATGCAACCAGCAGCAATGATGCACATGAACAAATAATACCACAAAAAACTCGACAGTGGTGTCACAGCCTTGGATCATCCAACCACTCACACCCTGGAGTGGAAAACGGTGGAGCAAAATGCTGAAGAAGAGAGTTAAGTGTGACTACAAACATTAGGAAAACCTGCACCATGTGACTTTCTGTAAATTCAGAGAAACTCCACCCATTAAAATCTGCAGAAGGTTGTATAGTTTTGCTTCCAGACTCAGCCATGTGTTTTTGTGAGCGTGTGTGTACGAAGGGACAATAAAAACAGCCACAAATTCCCTTTTTGCATCATGATACCATGTGAACACTAATTTAAGCCACAATGCCCTTGAGCAGCAAGAGAAAATAGCCCGAGACAAACGATGACTTAGGCCAAAAAAGGCAAAACTATTCAATGAGCTCTCCTGGAGGCTGAGGAGGGTTCTGTGCACACATAGGAGCACCAGGCCATGAGGTGAAACGCTGCCCATCTGCACCAACATTTCCAAAGGGCTGGAAAACTGCAGCCAATTCCTCCACCACAACACTGGGCAAGACTTGATCCCTCCATAGCCCAAAAAAGCTGCTGTTAAAAAAAAACCCTCACCTTCAAGGAACTGGACAGAACACGGCAAAGTTGATTTTTGAACCAACTTCTGAGCTTTTCTAAGTGGTTTGAACTCAAATATAATATTCCCAATTTCAAAAGTGCTTGCAGAGAACCTTCTAATAATTATTGATATTTAAGCAGCAGTATTTCCCTGAAAAGTGCTGCTGTCATTATCAATTGCCTGAAGCACCAGAACTGAAGTGTCATATTTATTATGATAATGCAGCTTTCTAAGTTTATCTCAACAATTTATGATAAGACACATTATTCACTCCCCATCTCTGTCTGAGAAGGCTGTAGTAAAATATTCAAGGCATTTCCAATAGGCAGGAAAGCTGCACATCAGGGTCAAATACAGAGCTATTTTAAGCAGCTCTTTGCAAAATAACAGCTATGACAATAAGTCATTTATAATCTGGAATATACTTTCATGAGCACAGCTGAAACTGAATATAAATAGGAAATCATCCCATGATTGATAGGAACCACAGGAAATTTTTAGTGAGCAGTTTAGTGCACATCTCATCCACAAGTAGAAGGTTTTTTCATCCACGTACTTTAAAACAGGGAAGAAATTGGTGTTTTGCTGTTGGTTTGGGAGGTCTTTTTTAAAATTTAATTACATTTCAGTCCACAAGAACCAGAAGTATTACCCAAGGCTTGGGAGAGAAGAAGAACTTAAGTGGTGAATAAGTGTTTGTGTTGCTCAGTACTGAGCTGATACAATAAATGGATATAAACACATAGTCTGACATCTAAAATGGTCAGCTGCAGAAATACTTTCATCTTTTATTTTCAAAGGTTTTAATCCTAAATAGTCAGTTGATTTCCACAACAGCTCTGAAGAAATCAAATAAGCTGCTTTTAAAACTACCCACATATATGTTCTAAAGTACAGTGTAGTCAAATATGTAACTACTGATTAAAACAGCCTTCTAAATAGAACATTAACTGCTGTTTGCAAGGGTGGAAGAAGGCTTTGGTTTGAATCATTACAGCTTTACCCACAGAATCCTTTTATTCGTGCACAGAATTTTAGAATTTTAATACTGAGCCTCAGCACACAACAAAGGAATCTGTTTCAAAACAACCTGGTCCCTGTAAGGGGGTAAAAAAGACAAATATCCATTTTATTTAATTGTGCATGAGTCTATACTGAAGCAAATAACTTACAATTCCCCACTCCTTGATAGAAACTGGAATGGAATTGAGTTGTGATATGCATTTTAAAAGTTTGTGTTAATTGCTTTAAACACTCCCTCACTGAAAATAGGGATAATTTAATATCTGAAAATCTGGGTTCTTCAGCTACCCAACCAACAGTGTTATCAGCCAAGATTCCCACTGATTACACTCCAGCTTTTCTCCTCAAGTTCAAAGCTCCCCACACCTTATCTTACACTGCTCTAGGTCAAGTTCCCCTCTATATGAACAGTCATTCCCATGCACATTTGATTTTCTGGGCAGTGCAAACCCTTCTTATCAGCAGAGCTCGGCAGGGATTGAGTGTCTGCAGAGCAACTGGAGCTCCTCAGGAAGGGAACCTTCAAAGGACAACCCAGGGCACAGATTGTCCCACTCAATCTGCAAAGTTGCCTTGAAAGAGGAAATAATTCCAAAGTCTCCAAGCCAACCTCAAATATAGAATGTACTGAACAGTGTTAGCCCCAGTTTAATACCTGGCAGTGACCAAGTCCTGCAGTGAAACAATCAACTCATCATCACCCATGTGTTTCATCTGAGCACTGACACCCCCTTCCAGCACAGCAATGAAACTAAATATTTAACTTCAGAATTCTGTCAGAATGGGGGTTGAGACACTCCCTGGGAGACCTCTACAGCCAAAATCCAACATTAACGCTGCAGGTGAGACCAGTGTGTGGTTTGAGCAGCCCAGGAAGAAGTGATGGGGCACATATTTTATGAATAATGAAGCTGGAAAGAAAATAAATGTTAAAGCTGTGTGGATTTCAGTCCCTGTTATAATTTAGCTACCGACAAAGAACTTTAGACTACAACAGGACCGTGCTCACCTTCCAAGTCTCAAATTACATTTTCTAACCAAAACTGCTCATGACAGTAAGTTCAGGAAGCAGCATTCACTTTACCCCCAAGAGCCACCATGGTACAGAACAGGCCTCAACATAAAACTGTTAATTTAAATGTGTACTTTGAACACTGATATCAGCCCTATTAACTCTGATGCCTCCCACAGCTGGAGACTTGCTCAGAGGGGATTTACAGGCAGGTTCACTACAAAGAGGGAAGAATTTTGGGGTTTTTTTTATGTTAATGTGTCACAAGAACAATTGCTGTTCTTAGCAAAGAAGGTACCAAGTGTTTGCAAAAGGTCCCTCAGCAAATGAAAGGAATTTTTCCTGTGGAAGTCAGAATGGCTCTTCATACACAATATGTACCTCACGCTTTCTTACTGATGTTTATCATTAACCAAAGCCAGTGTCAGCCTGGAATTCTGTTATCAGCAGGTTGGGGGTTGGAGCTGGACTTTTGCAATAAAGATTATCAGTACAACTCCAAACTATTGTATAGCTGAACAATTTGGGAACACAAACAGTTCCTGAAACCTGAGAGCAAAAACATAAAAATTCCATAAAATACCAAATGGGGAGAACAAACAAAAAAGTGGTTTAATATACTGAAGTTCATTGTTGGCACATTTTGATTTTCAAGACACTATGGTTTTTCTCCTGCTTTATTAGGATGTTCTCATTTGATCAGGCCAGGGTAGAAATACTGTCAAATCAGCCCATACAACCTGCCCCCTACTGCTGTTAAAACATCTGATTGAAAATACATGGAAGGGAAAAAGTCTAAGTATTTATTAATTCTTTTGACAAAAAACATAGTGTTAGCAATTTTCCAATATGACATATTATTACAGGTACAGTCATTTAAACCACTTTTCCTAATGAGATTTTTCATGTCTTAATTTCAGAGTCAGTTATTTCAGTCTCCTCTCTTGCCCAAAAATAAAATTTCCTTATCTCTAAATCAGAGGACACACCACTGTTGTGGGTATTTACTAATAAACTGAAGCAGAAGAAACTTTCTACATGAAGTATGGGAGTCAGCTTAAGGATTGAAAGGAGTAAA